GAGGGCAAACATGGACCAACGAAATCTGTAAGCACAATCAGGCATGAATTCAATCTAGAACTTTACATCTTTGAACAACATGCGTAGCTTGAACGGTAAACTTATTCGATGTTGCCACGCCCTACTCGGTACGTCACTGGCCGCGTCTTCGTTCCCTTCTACTGAAAACTGATAAAAGCTTGTCTTCAAACCCGAACGACCTAACGCGACAATTTGCGGAGAAGCAGCTCTTGTACAGAATGGTCCGTGCCTTCATTGCTTTCATAGCCTTCATCGCCTCCCACAGCACAGTTCATGGTTAAGATCTTTTACACCCTACGCAGCCTACACATGGTAACGAAAGGCCGAATGTCTTGTAGAGGGAGGGGGGAGCGGGAGAATGCCATATGTATGTCTGCATCGAGAACCCATTGACAAGCCTTTCTGTTGGTAAGGTAAATACTCTGGTCGTCATCTCCATTGTCAGCAGCTGAACCACTTGCTACGAATCTTGCAATGACAATCGTCCCTGCTTCCCTATCAGGCCTTCATCGCCTTCATGCTCTTCATTGCAGGCGCCTCCTCGGCGTCGGCGGCCTTCTTCATCGCCTGCAAACCCAACGCACCAAAGACCAACAAAGCAAGCTGTGAACAACAGGTGCGGTGGGGTGCGAGGAGAAGCGCGTTGTCTTCCTTTGCGGCCGAAGGCAACACAAGAGATTCTGCTGGTCATATGCACAAAGCACAAAGCGGAATCCGCAAAGGCTGCGTCTTGCGTTGCCTTCATGGCTTTCATTGCCTTCATCGCCTGGCAAGAACTTTGCAGCATAGCGTGACTGCAGCAAACAATAGATTGCGTAAAGAACTCGAATCTTCAAAGCATTTCCTCTGCATCTTTGTGTCCCCTTCACAAAGGGAGTTCTCATTTCCCTCAGTCTCATTTTGCCCACTCATGATCAGGGTCCAGTCGAAGAAGCCAATGACAAGTGAACTCGCAAAGTGCATTCAACTTGCAGCTGAACTCAACAATCAACAACTGTAAGGCCCCCTCCCCATGTCAAACTGATGCATGCATGAAACGCAGCATGCGAGAATCCAATGCGACCCGCAACGTTCTCCCTGATCAGCAGTCGGTCCTGCCTTCATTGCCTTCATGGCCTTCNNTTCATGGCCTTCATTGCCTCCCATCGTCCATATTCCACAAACATTCATGTAGCCACTACACGTTTCAAGACATCAGTGTCTCCGCCACAAACATTCTTCTCGGATCTACCTGACTTCCTATGGCATGCCCCCACTCTCTCACGCATCCCTGCTGCTCCGAGTGCCTTCATTGCCTTCATTGCCTTCATGGGGGCCATGACGACGGGTGCACGAGGCTGTAAGTGGCGCGGGGAGGCTTGGAAGGACTGAGAAGCGGCTTCAGCGAAGGACAGGATTCAAAGCTATCCCTGAGGAAACACTATGGTCCTAGGCTCCTGGTATAGCTATAGTGCAGAATACCTGAAATGTTCTTGCCGCCTGTAATACGCTGAGGGGTGGAATCCCTAAAGCCCCTGCAACTTCTAACCTCCAGCACTCGAGACCCCCAATCCCGAACCCCAAACCCTAAACCCTTAACCCTAAACGGCAAACCCCTAACCCTAAACCCTTAAGCCTAAGCCCCCAAAAGCCGAACCCCCAAAAACTGCTCAAACCGAAATCTCTCGCCTTGGCCAACTCGCCGAAGTAGGCACCCTCGATGTGGTTGGAGCTCTTCAAAAACACCGTCCTTGTCGGTTTATGGTTGAGGGTTTGGGGCTTAGGGTTTAGGGGCTGCTTCATAGCAACAGCGAGAGAGTCCTCATAGCAATTGTAACAGAATTTGCAACATCAAGAAAATTAGAATACTGAATCGAGTTTTGTGCGCCTGCACTCAAGGGGGAATCCCTGTTCGCATACATAGGAAGACTCGAAACCAGCTACCTGCAGTGGAAGACACATATGGTGCGACTTTGTTTCCTGTTGCCCCATATTGTGAACCAGGTATATACACCCACCAACTTTCTTAAGGGACCCTTTATACTCTCAGGACAAAACTCACTAAGGCCCTACCTCAAGCATACACACACATCATGGTCTGCGCAGCAGGCCTCTCCGAATCCCCAAAACGTCAATGCGCATCTGACCTTTCTGCGCGTCACACGCTTTCTCTCTGCTTCTGCCCCCCGCCGATCGTGAAAAGTAGAGGGCATAAAGTAAACCCACCCCAGAGACTTCTGCCTGGGATGATGTGAAGCTACGGCCATGCTGTCCTATGCAGCGGATGCCGGCTGATGCTTCGATCATGCAAATGCATGGGTAGCCCCAAAGGCCTATGCAACTGCTGAATGTAGTCTGTCACTGCACTACGGGACAAACTTGAAGAACCAACGACATGATCATGTAGCTCACACTGATCCGTTCCACCCAATAACAAACCCCCACCATCAACCCTGACCGGGGGTATATGCAAAGTACTCCTATAGCAGTCGAAGATTGTAGTCCCCCTCAAGTAGACAGAAGATGGCTTTGGGTACATTATAATAAGATCCTCATATACCCTATATTCTATCTACACTAAACCCTAAACAGTAGTTTCCATTGCGTCTGCCATTATCCGCGTATAACCCCAATATAACCCCATGTTGTACAAGTATGTGCCACGCCCCGAAGACTATTGGAAGGGAAGCCTTATCACTTGCTCTGTTCAAGTTCAGGTTGAACTTCCACACCTCTGGGTCCCTTTAGGGTTTAGGGTTTAAGGGTTGAGGGTTTACTGCTATCCCTATACCTTGTAATGATACACCATAGAACCTAAACACTAAGGCCTGTACGCTAAACCCTCAACCTAGCCTCAAACCAGCTGCGAACCTACACCTGGAGGGTGAAGCAGGACTACTGAGCACAGCAGTTTACACGCGGTTTAGGGTTTAAGGATTAATCAATCTCATCAAGACGGTATTCCATGCTATACACAGTCCAGTTGCCTGGGCCAAGCAAGTCTAGACTTTTTGCGTAATCGGCTCTAAACTCGAAACCCTAAACCTACGAATGTAACACGTACCTACCTAGCTACTACGTATCCCTTTTTTTTCCAAGAAGGGCTCCGCACAAGCCCTCAATTCTTAGTTCGGATCTTTGGGCTGAGGACCCCTCATGTCGGGCGTGTAGGGATTTCACAGTAGGGCCTGTAGGGATTTTATAGGCACAGTAATTACGAATGTAAGCACTATATGGGGATGATAAAGGGATTCTATGATGATCGTATAGCAAGGCCTCAAGAGCTGCCCCTGAACGACTTCCTGAGCTCCTGCGCGCAGTGCACACGAGTCACAGGACGTCTGTGCCGCAGTACTCCATACCGCGGGCTTGTACGACAAAATCACAGCCTCCTTGGCTGCTTCCGCTGCTGTAGCGGAAACTTTCCAACATCTGCAGGCCCGAGAGATGTCGCTTTGTGATGCCCCTTTTCTATGATGGCACATGCTGTCATGCTGCTGCTTTACTTGTAAGTTGGACTTATGCTTAGGCCCATAGCCCTGAGCCCCAAGTCCTTATCATTTCCATCCTTAAACTCAAGCCCGTTCGGATTCACGCAGCCTTTATTCTGAGGCCCAGATACTCTAAGTAGAGATACAAAAACGCTCATCCTAATGCAACCCTATCTTTGAACATGCCCGGGCTTACTTGAAACCCAGTGAAGAACGGTCCAGACTTCATGCCCAAACCCACCCCACTCAGCTTCTTTTCCGCAACCACAAACAACAAAAACTAAGTTGGATCATGCCCAGCCACCTCGCTTCCCTTGTTTCCGAAAAAAATCACTATTAGTAGCTGCCCGCCTTCACTTCACCCCCCAACTCTCTCTCCCCCCCCCATCAACACCCAAAGATTGAACCAAATTGACGCTAAATCTCTTTCGCAGCCTGAAACTTTTAAACCTCTAAACCACCCAAAGTCATTCCACCCTCAGCCCGAAATCCTATCAACCCTAAACCCCTCAACCTGAACGCTCCACGCCTGAAAACCTCGGCCTGACATTTACCAAGAGCCGTCACCCGAGCCTGAGCCCTGCACCCTGACCCTTCAACCCTACCCTAGACCCCTGACCCCCACACGCCAAAACCCTTGATCCGTAAAGCCCCGACCCTAAAACCCTAAACCCTACACCCCTGCCCCCAGATCCCGAAACCCTAAAGCGCTAAATTCCTAAACCCCAAATCCCTAAACCCTAAAGCGAAAAACTCCTATACCCCAAGTCCCGAAATCCTAAAGCGCTAAATTCCTAAACCCAAAGTCCCGAAACCCTAAAGCGAAAAACTCCTAACCCCAAGTCCCGAAACCCTAAAGCGAAAAAGCTCTCGTCCCTCAGACGGTAGCGGTGACCTCAGCAGGCTTCTCTGCAGAGCTCTGGGCCGTGCCTGAGATGGCTTGAGGGTTTAGGGATTACAGGTTTAGGATTTAGGGTTTAGGTTTACGGTTTAGGATGTAGGGCTTAGGATTTAGGGTTTAGGGTTTAGGAATTTAGAGACTTAGGGTTTAGGCTTTAGGGAATACGTTTTCTTAATCCTGGTTGTTGGGTTGAGGGCTTAAAGAGCTTGCGGGGTTTGTAGGTTTCGTGGGGTTCAAGGGTTTGAGGATTTGAGGGTCTGAGGGCTCAGGATTTAGGAGCCGAACCATCTGTTCGGAGATGCTGGGGTTTAGGGTTTAGGTGTGTTCAGAGTGTTTGCTAGAGTTGCAGGATTGGAGATGCAGCGGTTGATGGGTTCAGGGGCTTGTGGTTTGTGATGGCAGGTGCCCCTGAGCCCTACACCCGAAGTCTGTAATCCCTGAACCCTAAATCCCTAACGCCCAAAGCCTAATCCCTAAACTCAAGACCCTAAATCCCTCAACGCGAAGCCCTCATCCTACTGCAATGTCCGAGGCTACTGATAGTCACCAATGCCATGGTATCAAGCGTCCCTGGTGCTTAGAATAAAAGAACTTTAATGGGAACCCCAAACCTGGAATCCCAAGACAGGGGTAGGTTTGAACCCATTTTATTATGTTCATTTACCGTTATTCCCTATAGTTTGGTAATGGTTATTGCCCTCATCCCTATGTTTCGGTAATGTTTATTACCCTTATTCGCTATGGAACCCTCATAGAGCCATGAATTTTGATTTTTATAGGGCCCCCAAACCTCCCCAAGAAGAATATAATAGGAATATCATGGGGAGATGAGGATCCTGGTAGGTGCATTCCTTTCTATATTATGTATATATGTATGTTCCTAGCCTTGGTTTAGGATTTAGGGTATATGTTCTTGAGGTTCCTTGCTTTGGGGTTCCCATTTAGATCTCCTTAGAAGAGAATGAACACGAAAATCCTTGACTCGGGTCTCACCATGTCGGCATTCAGGTTATCAGAGCTACTTTTGATGGAGGATACCCTGCCGCTCCGCAAGTTCCACGCGTCCTCGAACTTTCTTTAAATAGAATTTGGTACAGGTTTTGGGTGAAGGGTTTGGGACTCTCCCAAAAGGTGCGGCTTTTTGTGCATGCTGGTAGTAGACAGCTACCTTGAGCAAGACAGGTGGTGCCTTCCTTGACACACAAAAGTAGCGGTCAAGGGGGTTGCACTTGATTGTGTATGCTGAGAAGGGTAGAGACGGAAGACCACTGAATATGAAGTGTCTTGGCAATCCATAGACTCATGCAACACCATTCAGCCGCCTTACATTCTCTGGTATACACTAAGTTTCCAACCCCAAGCCGTACAAACAACCGCAAAACCTGGCACAAGACACAATGGAACACCTATAACAGTGCGTTTAGTTCACGAACGCTTCCCCCTGCACGCCCACCTATCTGCCGTTCCTGGCCACCAAAAATCAAGCGTGTAATCATAGTAGAATTATATATACCTGAAAAATTAAAGATTAGGTTATCCACTCAGCTACTAAGCTGAATCTGCAGCTCCAGGTACTGGTCAGCAGCGTTGGTGCCGCCGCCTCGTAGCTGCGCTTGCCGGTGTGCTCGGAATTGCTGCGCTTGCCGGTGTGCTCAGTCTTGCCGTAGGCCACCTGAGACATTTCAAGCGTCTGATATGCGGGGTAGAAGCTGCCTGGAGGATAGGGGAACCACAAAAGTTAAGGGCCTCCGGTCCTGGGTAAGTGGCAAGGAGACTACAGGGAGGCTATAAGTATCCAGATCAGGGAATCCCATGAACCTCCAAGCATGCAGTCAGTTGAAAGTTGAAAGGATTTGAGCTTTACAAAAGGTCCCCTAAGGAAGGCATAGCCAACCTTGAGGCAATCTCAGGCAGGTTTGGGGTAGCAAAGCACCTTGGCTTTGAGGTCTGGAGTTGTCCCCACCCGGCAACAGTCTATAACACGGGTAATATTAAGGGCTATACCTAAGTTCACTAAAATGTCTATCAAGCTGTTACTGAGTGAAGCCAGTACCCAAGTTTTAGGACTTCAGAATGTCTTCCCGCATGCTTAGACCGAAGATTGTATATAATCTTGAAGCTTCATGCAAGTCTTCTTACTGGTACTTAGTGGCGAATCATAAAGGAAATCCCTATATAAGCCCTGTACAACCCCCTAGAATCCCCATATTCCCGATATATGATCCCTATATAACTCCTATATCCTACATTTCCTTGCTGCCCTACTGAGCCCCAGTAAGTCTTTGGCCCCAAAGCCAAGACTTGTCAGCCTCGACATACCAACCTGAAAACCTTTAAATTGCGGCATGGGTGGTTTCCCAAAATTAGGAGTACCTTTCAAGGAGGATGTAGGGAATATACAGGGGATATATAGGGGTTATATGGGGTTTAGGATTTAGGGATTAGGGTTTAGGGTTGCCCAAAGGTAGAAATCCCGATTGGGGGGGTCGAGTAATGATTATAATATACCGAGGTCTATGTTAGAGTCTCCATTTTTATGGAAACTGCTATGTCTGAGTTCCTTCTGCCTGAAATCCAGAACCAGCGAACTAGACTGACTACACAAACCTCGGACCAACGCTAAAACCCTAAACCTAAAGCCCGCGAAATTCCGAAAACAAGCTTGCAGGTTTTCACATTCACTCAGGCCTCGGAGTGACAGTGGAGGTCGACTCCTGCCACACGGTTGAGGGTTTGGGGTTTAGGGCTGCAAGCTTTTCAAGACGGTTGGGTTCTGGAGTTTAGAGTTTGGGGCGTCCAGGGTTTTGGAGCCTGGGGCTTAGGCTTTCAGGGGGTTCGGAGAACCAAAACTGCGTACAAGCAAGCCGGGTGCGCCTTCCAGCTCCTGCTCCTCGCTGACCCTCATGCGCATGGCGAGGCGCATGATGAAGAAGATCACCGCCGTGACGCCTGCTGAGTAGACCACACCGAAGGCCGCGCCAGCCACGTTCTTCGCGAGCAGCAGGCCATCGCCGCCGTAGATCAGGCCGTCCTCGGGGTGGAGTCAGGAGGTGGGAAATGCAAGCAGCAACGGCTACAAGTTGTTCTGAGCATCGCAACAAGGACTGGCGCAAGGCGGCCAGACAGAGAGAGAGAGAGAGAGAGAGAGAGGGAGGGAGAGGGAGAGGGAGAGGGAGAGGGAG